GGGACGGGCTCCCCCGGGGGCTTCCCCAGCCCGAGCCTTGCCCTTCCCGCGGAGCCCTCCGGCCCCCGCTGCGGGTCGGGGGGTACCGGCAGAGCCCCCCCGCCCCCGCCAGCCCCGCGGGATCCCCGGGAGCCGCCGTGCCGGTGCGCAGGCCTCCCCCGGCCAGGAGCGCCGCGTCCCTGGAGAGCCGGCGGCGGTGGCGGGCTGCTCTCACTGCCCTACTTTCCGGGCTACGTCAAAGCCGGGCTTACGGAGCCGCCAGCCTCGGGAGGGCGGCCCGGCCGCGGCGGGAGCCGGCGGGGGGCGGTGCCTAATCCCGGCCATCAGCGGCCGCCGCCGGCCCCGGTAGCCCGGCCTGGCCGACACCCCTGGCGCTGCCGTGGGGCTCTGCCGGGCTGGGCAATGGGTCGGGGGGCGACGGTGTGGCCACCGCTGGTGTCCCCCCCCCCGAGCCACCCCCGGGCAGGGACGTGGCAATGCCCGAGGGCCCCCTCCAGCCGCCGCTGCAGCCGGGCTCCTGCACCCCTCATCCCGGGAGAGCGGCGGGAGCCGGATGAAAGTAAAAAGCAGATTTAAAATCAACAAATAAAAGGCTTTTGGTGGTTGGGGTTTTGTTGGGGTTTTTTGGGTTTTTTTGTTGTTGTTGTTGTTGGATTTTTTTTTTTTTTCAAATGCAGGCTATAAATAGCCTGTCAAATATTTCGTCCGGGCCATTTCTGAGGGTGAAATCTCGACCCTCCGGCTTCCCATGCTGCGGGACGTGAGTGTGAGCACCAGGGACATCACGGGGCCCCCCAGCCATCGGGGGGGTCCTGCACCCGGGCTCACTGGGATCAGGGGGGTTCCATGTCTCTGGCCCCCGCTGTGTCAGAAATGGCCCTTCCCAGAATGGGCCTGGCCAAGCCCTGGGGTGGGAAGGAGGCGACCCCCCGAAAAACAGGAGGTGGGAGGCTCTGCCTGGCACAGTGTGGAGGGGATGGGGCGATGGAGGCAGATTTTGGGTTGGTATTTTAGGCACAGGAGGGCTCCCCCCAGTTGCCCTGTCCCTCCTGCCCCCCGTGCCGGGGCCAGGGGTGGCCTGTGCTCCGTCCCCTGTTCCCCTCGGCCCCCATCATCTTCCGAGGTGGGTCCAGCTCTGCCCCCTCACCCCGCAGCCACGGGTGCCCCGGGCACCCCCAACCCTCCCGCCGTGGGCACCGGGTGCCCGGCCGGCGCATCCCGGCCTGCACAGCCGCCGCAGCCGCGTTTCCGTGGAGATGGCATCTCCCGAGCCCGCACAGCCTGAGCGGGAGGGTTTCCATGGAGATGCCGTATCCAGCACGGCACAACCTGAGCCAGAGATTTCCGCCGAGATGCTGTAGCCGGGACCCTCGCACCCGCCGCGGGGCCGTTCCTGTCGGGGACGGGTGGCCAAGGGCCCGCGGTGGCTCCCGGGGCAGCGTCCGGTGGCACCCAACCGCCCCTCACCCCTCGCACGGGGACAGGCGGGGGGACACGGGCAGCTGCCGGCTTGGAACAGTCGCTGGAGCGGCCACCAGCCGTGTCACCCGGGGGGCTGGGGACCCGGTGCCTTGGGTCGGGCTGCGATGTCACATTCCGGGCCTCCCGGGGGTGCCGGGTCCCGTCTGTCCCCAGCTGCCCGGGGAGGAGACAGGGAAAGTCCCCGCACGCCCCTCATGACTTTGTCCCAGCTGCCGCCCTGCAGCTCCCACAGCAGCGTCCTGGGCACGGGGGGGTTTGGGGGGGGATGGCAGGGCCACCGGGGGGGAGT